GAGAAAGAGAGAGAGAGAGAGAGAGAGAGAGAGAGAGAGAGAGAGAGAGAGAGAGCGATATAATCAAGCCAAAGCGGAAAGTTTTTCTGTTTTGTTACTGTCCCTTTATCCTTTCAGTCTTCTTTTATCCAGCCTCTTAAGTTTATTACCAAATCAATGTATTTCTCTTCGACATATGAAAGCAAGGTTTTATTTCTTTTCTCAATAAAGAAAGAGACAAAATCTTTAAGGGCTTTGACTATAGCAGAGCAAAAAAATATATTCCTGAAGGTCACTAGCATGTCAATCCTAAGTTCGAATTCCCAGTGCATTTAGTTGAGAGATAATGACGCGGCGAAATCAGGTGCTTGTTCATTCGTCTTGCTTTCGGTGAAAAAATATCCTATCTTGGGCAGAAGTCGAGATATTTGCGCTTGAAGAAGGTGGCTGTAGCCTTATTTCGGATGTAAAATTACGAGAAAATGGTCCACAAAAGTTTGGTAGCGTCCACAATTTGTTAGTTCTTGGAAACTTTAACCACGTTTATCAATAAAATCCACACAGAAAATCAATGTGTTATAAAAAGTGTTGAGGAAAAAAACCAAAAATTTAATAACATTTGCCACATTGGGGAGAACATGCTTGTTTTGTTTTGTTTTACTAGCGCCTGAGTTCACACCATTGTTTCACTTTTAGCGGTGCAAACTTGGGCACGAGAAAAAGGTACGGTCTATGGTTGCGTGTAACCTTCAGAGGGATTGTGCCTCAAGAAACACCCACGTGTGTCACGACGCGGTGGAATCAGGCGCTCGTTAAGTTTAGGACATGTGGAGTTGTTGGTATCTAAAAGCTCGTTCATTTGTCTTGAGTTTCGTTAAAGAATAATATTGATCTTGAACACAAGTAGAGATATTTATGATTGATGGAGGTCGGAGGTCGCCTGGTGAGAGCGGTAACGTAACGTTAGTGAGAAAATAGCAAAACAAATTTGGTGACTTCCAAAGCTTTGAGTGTCCTTGGAAACTAAAAAGTTACATTTCGTTTGCCCTTGATCAATGTCAGTCAGTAAAATCCACTAAGAAATGTATTTTTCAATGGGCATCGGCAAAAATTGATAAAAATTGCTAATTGTACAGAATAATTATGTGTTCTTTGATTCCCTATTGTATTAACGAGCGCCTGGTTTCACCATGATGCCACACACACTTCCTCTCGTCCTGTGAAATCTGCTCCTGCCTTCTTGGGCTCGACACGAAAACTCGATCAGTCCGATTTCACGGCACAGCGAGATTCTCCGAGGCACGACCTCCCTTTTGTGGGCGGGGGCGG